CTCGTGCTCTGGTTATGGGGTTTCCTGTCTGTGGGCTCCTTGGCAGCACTCTGAAAACCCAATTGTTTTTGCTCCTCTGTGCAGCGATCATCATTGATGACTCTGGAAGACTCTATGATGAGTCCCAAGGAGACGTCTTCTGGGAACAAAGGAGGCCTGGTAAGGAGGAGGGAGAGAAAGTTTTGGGCTGCAGGAACCTGAATTAAGGGCTACTGTTTCCTGAGGCATCTTGTTCTGAGCCCCTTCTGTACCATGGATCTGGTTCATGATAGAATCTTATTCTCTGTGTTTAGTTTACTGAATCGTATTGGGAAACACAGGGAGATATGAACTCATTATATAATGTAGAAGATGAAACATATTAATTAATGAGTCCTATTAATCAGTATATTTACTCTATATTGATTACATAGTAGAAATATGCTAGCTATGTAATAAGTTTGTTTTTAAAATAACTCCTTGCTACACCTATAAAGGTCAGATTTCTACAGTTATTTCTATAGGACAAAAAGCTAAATATTCCTTTATTGGAAGGTCCTATTGTCATCTGATCACAACCTTGAGTCATATCAAGAGACAACTCATTCAGCTATAAGATATTAGCACAAATAAAGACTTCAGATAAAACATTCTGAAACCCAAAGTATTGGTTTTGACAGAGTCCTTCAGCAAGTCATGACATACATAGTGGTTTTTCAAAGGACCTTTACTAACAATCTTACTTTTTCCTTTACAACAACCCTGAGGGGTAAGCAGGATGGACATCATTACCCTTGTTGCTAGACGAGAAAACACAATTACAGAAATGTTTCAAGGTCTCTACAAAGTCTCATGGAAACACAAGGATAGATAAGACCAGCATCCTGTATTCTGAGTTATTTCTTTTGTAAAATTAGAGCTCAAAAAGGTCATCAAACTCTTGTTTGCTGCACTTGTTTGCTGCACAATGATGCACTAGAAAGCCAACAAACAAGTGAACAATGTGCCCAAGAGCCTGAGCCAGCAGGTAAGGCTGAGTGACTGGGTTTGATGAGTGTAGGGACCAAGGGATACTTGCTGGTCATAGACAATGAAGTGATGCACATCTTCAAAGTGATGAAGCAAAAGCAATGAAGAAAAGGAGACATCTATTAACAAAGAAGGGGAAATCTCACAGACACACAGCTTGCAGGATTTCAGCCTGATATAGCGATAGCAGAGACCTGCAGAGAGGG